TTTAGCATGTGGACTGGGAAGTGATCGAAATGTGTTAGACGTGGTCTGAAATTACAAAGTAGTACTGTTCCCTTCCTTATTTTAGAAAACATGTCCTATAATGGCATTAGCTCTCTTAACACTCAGAACACATTAGAGATTCCCATTTAGCCTTCAGTCAGCTAAAACTTTAAGAGCCCTACTAAACAAACCTGTTAAGAATACAACCTATATTTTTCTGGTAAAATCTAAGAGTATGATTTAGAATTATCTCTAACTTTACTCTTGTTATTTTCATTCCACCACTCTAGCATATGGAGCTGCTGCTTCTTTTTTTTTATTTTATTTATTTGAGAGAGAGAGCATGAGCAGGGGGAGGGGCAGAGGGAGAAGCAGGCTTCCCGCTGAGCAAGGAGCCCAATGTGGGACTCAACCCCAGGACCCTAGGATCATGACCTGAAGCTGAAGTCAGACGATTAACCAACTGAGTCACCCAGGTGCCCATGGAGCTGCTTCTTAATGCTGATTCCTTTAGGTAATTTCCTCAGTTTCTTTACCGTCATCTAAATTACTGACAGGCTGATAAGCCAGGGGCAGATCTAGAACCCAGTGCCACACCATTAGAGACTGCTGAGGGTCATCTGGCTATTGGCCTTTTTAACATGTGTTTCTTCATGGTATCTTAAAACCATAACACTCTCTGCTTTTCTTCAGTATAAAATAATGAATCACTATCCCAAAGGTATTGGGTTTCTGGCAAAAAACTTCCTTTTTTAACGGAGAACGCAATGTACCCTGAGAGTCTGCTAACATCTGGTGTATAAAGGTTGATTTTTTTTTTTTTTTTTTTAAAGTAGGCTCCACACCCATTGTGGAGCCCAACACCAGGCTTGAACTCACAACCCTGAGATCAGATCTGAGCTGAAATCAAGAGTTGGACACTTAACCAACTGAGCCACCCATGTGCCCCTAAAGGTTGATTTAAAAAAAAAAAAAAAAAAAGAATGCATTTTTCACACACTATATTACTTAGGTACCAAACTCATTCTATAAAGTAGATATCACCATTTTCACTTTATACCTGGAAAAACTCAACGTAGCTAAAAGTGCAGGTTCTCTGGAGTCATAAAGCCTGCATCTAAATTCTGACTGCCTAATCTATCAGCTACAGGACCATCAGCAAACAACTTAACCACTGTCAGTGGTCTCTCCTCCTAAGATTTTCATGAGAAATAAAAAAAATGATATATATAAATCATGTAACACAGTACTAGGCAAATAGTAAGGTCTTGATAAGTATTCTCTATAATTCTTACAGCCTCAGACAAGAGAGTTTAGAAAAGTGGCAGGGGCAGGACCTAAAGCAGAGTTTGACCCCAAAACAACTACAAATATGTACAGTCAAGGACACACAGAACTAATTTTATTTTTCCCCTGGCAAATACAATTTGTCTGCCTAACCATATCCTTTGATACAGTAAAAAACAAAGACAGAATTTTGAGAGGAATAAAAGGAACAATGCAACCATGGACATAGCCTAGTTAGAGATTTTATAGTGACAACTTAAAGACAAAAACCAGTCTAAGAACTAGGTCACAGGAAAGATGAGTTACAAAGCAGACAAGCGGTAGCTCAAGGCAGGGCATTTGTGAGGCAGCAACAAATTCATTTGCTGTCCAGTATTTGAGGGCAAAGGCTAAATGACATTTTGATTTTGATGGGTTATATGCATTGTCCTGGTTCTTAATACATCCTTGACCTAGACTGCCACCTACATTTTCGTAAGACTAACCCTCAAAAAGTTAAATTATTCTTTAGCATTACATATTATTAAAAGACACGTCAATGTTATTAAGGATACAAATTTCAAAAGAAGACATACAAATGGTCAACAAATGTACAAAAAAATGTTCAACATCACTAATCATCAGGGAAATGTAACTCAAAACGACAATGTGAAATCACTCCACACCTGTTAGAATAGCTGTCATCAAAAAGACAGGAGATAACAAGTACTGGCAAGGATGTGGAAAAAAGGGAACCCTTGTACACTCTCGGTGGGAATGTAAACTGGTACAGCCATCATGGAAAACAGTATGGAGGTTCCTCAAAAGATTAAAAATAGAACTACCATATGATCCAGTAATCCTGTGTCTGTCTAGGTATATACCCAAAGGGAAGGAAATCATCATCTCAAAGAGACATCTGTACTCTCATGTTCACTGCAACATTATTCACAGTAGCCAAGATCTATGGAAACAAACTAAGTGTCTATCAACGGATGAATGGATAAAGAAAATGTGGTGAGTAGATAAAGAAAGATAGATATAAATATGTACATAACAGAATATCACTTAGCCTTTAAAAAGAAGAAAGTCTTGTCATATGTGACAACACTGATTAATTTTGAGGACATAATGGTAAGTGAAATAAGTCAGGCACAGTAAGACAAATACTGCATGATCTTACTTATATGAGGAATCGAAAAAGTTGAACTCATAGAAGCAGAGAGTAGATCGGTGGTAGTCAGGGGCTAGGGGAGGGAGAAATGGTGAGATATTGATCAAAAAGTACAAAGTTTCAGTTATGCAAGAGGAATAAGGTCCAGCGATCTAACCTACAGCCACGTGATTATAGTTAACAATAAGTAGTATTGTATACTTAAAATTTGCTGAATAGATTTTAAATGTTCTCACCAGACACAGGGGGGCGCGCAAAAGGTAGCTATGTGAGATAATGGATATGCTAACCAGCCTGATTGTGGTAATCATTTCACAATGTTTACATTTATCAAATCATCACATTGTACACCTTAAATATATACAATTTTTGTCAATTATAACTCAATCAAGCTGGGGGTAAGGATATGAAGATAGAAGAAGATGTAATTATCAACTTTATGGTTTTTAATAAAAAATCTATTTCCATGTTGTAGCAAAGTTGAGGAGGTTATATTAAATACATGATCACTGGAAGAAAGACAACAAAAATGTACTTGTAGAACAAGGTAAGGTAAGATAAAGGGATAGATCATAAACTTTGCTCATCTTGATTAGTAAATTATGAAGACAATGAAAAATAAGAACGGAAATTCTGTTCTTCAAACAGAACAGAAAGGAGCATTCTTCCATCATCAGATATCAGACTAACGTGCATTTAATCATTAAGCACTCTTTTAAAAATCTGATAAAGAATCAAGAACTCAGAAGTAGAGCAAGTCCCCCACAAAACTTACTTTCCAAAGAATAATTCCCGGCTACCTATTCTTTCAAGTATACAGTAATATCGATATTCTCCTATAGAATGCAAAGTCTTCTAAATAAAACCAAATTTTAAAATGCTGACGTTTACTTAAAGTCTCTAATATTGGGGCTCAACTAACGATGCACGATCAGGGCTTCTCTAGATACTGAAATCAAAAGACAGTGAGATGTCACAGCTCTGTGAAAAACCAGATAGAACAACACAGACAAACCTCTCCAGCGCATGACAAAGGAAGGAAACTCTTCTCTTCCAATGGTGGCTTAAAGTCAAATGATTGAAGGATACAGTAAAAGTCACTTCATTCAGTTTAATCCAGCCCTTCTTTCTTTTGCCTGACAACCAGGATGGTTCTATAGAAAAGACTAGGTCACGTACAGTTCTGGTAAAATCCATAAGAAAGTTTTTAATATACCTAAACTGACCAAAACAATACGCAAAACTGTCTTTGTAGCCTCTCGGACGTCTCACCACTCAAGCAAACTTCACTACATAAAATATAAGAAAGTCACTAAAATTGGGCATATAAAAATGGGTCATAAACTTGATTTAGGAATAGTGAAGGAAGTTCACCTGCGGGTTCCTTTAAAAGAGTGGGTACCTACATCAAAAGGAATGAGATCTTGCCATTTGCAACGACGTGGATGGAACTGGAGGGTATTATGTTGAGTGAAATAAGTCAAACAGAGAAAGACATGTATCATATGATCTCACTGATATGAGGAAGTCTTAATCGCAGGAATCAAACTGAGGGTTGCTGGAGTGGGGGGTGGGGTGGGAGGGATGGGGTGACTGGGTGGTGGAAACTGGGGAGGGTATGTGCTCTGGTAAGCGCTGTGAATTGTGCAAGACTGTTGAGTCTCAGATCTGTACCTCTGAAACAAATAATGCAATATATGTTAAGAAAAAAAAAGAAGAAGAAGAAGAAGGTAGCGGAGGGGAAGAATGAAGCGGGGGAAATCGGAGGGGTAGACGAACCATGAGAGACGATGGACTCTGAAAAACAAACAGGGTTCTAGAGGGGAGGGGGGTGGGAGGATGGGTTAGCCTGGTGGCGGGTATTGAGGAGGGCACATTCTGCATGGAGCACTGGGTGTTGTGCACAAACAATGAATCATGGAACACTTCATCTAAAACCAATGATGTAATGTATGGGGATTAACATAAGAATAAAAAATAAAATAAAAGAGCGGGCACCTAAAGACGTATCTCAGTAAGACCGATACCATCTTGGAAGCTAATCTCGAACCAAGGACCCAGGGTTGCCTGAGCAGCTTTGAATGCCAAGCCCCGCAGCAGGAAGCGCAGGTCGCTTCGCTGACGTACGTGCCACTGCGAAGGGCAGCCCGTCTCGGTTCACTCCAGAGTCGTAAATACACTAATACACTCCGAAGTAGTAACCACTTTTTAATGCGCTAAGCAGCACGTCTACGGAGAAAAGCACATGAACAACAGCAGCAGCAGCACATGGTGACCGGAAGGGTTGCATCACCCTCCAGCCGCCGTCAGACGTTCTCCGCGGGGCTGGAGTGAGGAGAGCCGGCAGCGGCTCTCGGATGCACACGGGGTTGGACCCTCGGCCGCGGCTGCTGAGCGCTCACCCATCCAGGGAGCTCAAGCCAACCCAGGAGCCAAAAGGGAAACCTTATTCCGCCCAGCCGAGGCTGCACCCGGCACCTTCAGGCTGTAGCCATTAAGGCACTGATGGGAAAGGAAAAGTACCTTCGTGTCGTCAAAAGAGCTCGCGGCCACCACTTACTTCAGAGTAACAACTTCGGTTGTAAGGCCGCTTTCTGTTTTCGTCCTCTCCGTAGACTCCCGGTTGCGGAGAAATGCCGACAAGGGATGATGAGTGAGCTGGAAAGTTCTGAAAGGCAGACCCAAGCTAAAGAGCACATAAATAAAACATGGGCCGTAAACACGGCAGCTCTGCAGACACAGCACTCCTGGAAAAATAATTCAAAATACACGTCTCACGAAGGCGTGGGCAGCAGTGCTACTTTTTGAGCGGTAATGTCGGGCGGTGGTGCCGCACCACCGAAGCATCGCGAGATTTCCCCGTGCGTCGTCGTTGCTCGTTCTCGGGTCGCAATTTAGGCGATTGAAATTATGTTAATTCTGTCGGTTGCCCGTAGTATCGTTTAAAATGTCACCGCTAGCGGCGCCTGGGTGGCTCAGTGGATTAAGTGTCTGACTTTGGCTCAGGTCATGACCCCCGGGGCCTGGGATCGGGCCCCCACGCCGGGCTCCGCGCTCCATGCTCAGCCTGCTTCTCCCTCTCCACCGCTTGGGCTCTCTCACGCTCTCCCTCTCTCAAATAGAACCTTAAAATATATTATATTAATATATTATAAAATATATTATACAGGTATATATATTATACAGGTATATATATATTGTATATATACACAGGTAAAAAGGCAATTCCAACGCAATGGGGTGGATGTTATGATGTGGATGATGCATGATATTACAAGTATGTATAGAAGGAGCATTTTTCGGGCGCCTGGTGGCTCAGTTGGTTAAGCGACTGCCTTCGGCTCAGGTCGTGATCCTGGAGTCCCGGGATCGAGTCCCGCATCGGGCTCCCTGCTCGGCGGGGAGTCTGCTTCTCCCTCTGACCCTCCCCCCTCTCATGTGCTCTCTCTCATTCTCACTCTCTCAAATAAATAAAATCTTTTAAAAAAAATCTATTATTTGTATTCTCTTAAGGATAACTGTTTCGGGCGCCTGGGTGGCTCAGTTGGTTAAGCGACTGCCTTCGGCTCAGGTCATGATCCTGGGGTCCCGGGATCGAGTCCCGCATCGGGGTCCCGGGATCGAGTCCCGCATCGGGCTCCCTGCTCGGCAAGGGGTCTGCTTCTCCCTCTGATCTCTTCCCACTCGTGCTCTCTGTCTCTCATTCTCTCTCTCTCAAATAAATAAATAAAATCTTAAAAAAAAAAAAAAAAAAAACAAGAAGGAGCATTTTTCCTGACCTTTAAGTATGAGGAAATTTTCCCCAGAGGAAGTGGTAGCTAAGCAGAGACCTGAATAGATTGAGTTAGCCAGGGGATAACCAACCAATGGGATGAGGGGGTGTGTGTTGGGTAGAGGAATTTATTTGAAGACCCAGGGGTGAGAAAGGAAAGGTTCTGTTCATGGAAGTAAAAGAAGGTCACTTTGGATGGAACTTAGTTTTTTGGCAAAAGGAACAAAAGAGCAGAATAATGAGGTAAGCTGGGGCCACATTATGTAGAGCCTTATAAACCATGGGGAGAACCTGGACTTCATCATGAAGACCATGAAAATCCAGCGCAGACTTGTAAGCAGGGCTATCTGTGTGTTAGAGGAAAAACCACGGTACGGAGAATGAATGAGAAGGGGCAGCTGCTGTAGAAATCCAGGGAAGAAACACCAGGAGAGGAGCAGTAAGGATAGGTCTAAGTAGATGGATTTGAGAAATCCTTAGCAGGTAGAATCAAAGAGCCTTTGTGATTTGCTGTGTGTATGAGATAAGGGAGGGCAGGAAAGAATGAACAATATCAAAGTGTCTGGCCTTAGCTGCCGGTTGGTAACGGTGCCATTCACTGGTAGGGAACAGAGGAAGGTGGGTCTCATACAAGGAGCCTGCATAGAATAAGAAAATTCGATTAGAAACCTGAGTGATGAGAGCCCAAAGAACACTGAAGAGCAGGACGGTGAGAGAAGAGAATAAAGAGAGGTGAGGAGTGTTTGGAATTAGAAACCAAGAACATAGGAGCATTTCAAGAAGGCAGGAATGGTAGTAAGTGTCAAGTGTTGGAGGGAGAGGTCAAGTCACTCATAAAGACTGAGAGGTATCCACTGGTTGTTTGACAAGGAGATCAGAGGTGACCAAGCGGATTTGGGACCCACACAGGATCATGTCAAGACTCATGGCAAAGAGCAAGACAGAGACAGGTGCTAAAGCCTCTTAGTGGGTGAGAGAGAGATAATCGCCACGTTGCTAGATGACAGAATGGAAGAAGTACAAGGTGAACGCCAGACACCTCCAAGGATTTGATATGAGGGCAGGGGTGCAGTTTGAAATTAATTCTTAAAGAGATAATAATAAATCTGCACTGCACTCTAACAGACGTCTATCACAAGGAATATTTTGCTTGCTCTACCCTCTTTTGAAACATTAAAGGGAATTTTTTGTTTCATTCTACAAACTAAAAGGACATTCCTATGGCTCTGTTGTGCTTTCTTTGATTAGGGATGTTGTGACATTACAAGCTGAAAGGATTTTATCCTATCTTTTTATATTTCCGCTTTCAATGTAATTCTTACTTCCTGAAGTAAAATTTAAACTAATTTCCTACTAAAAAGATATACACATAAATCAGTGTATCACACACAGCTCATGAGGAAGTGTTAAGTGATTTTAGTAAGAATTATTTGCCCATGTGCAGGCTGCAGTAAAAACTGCCAAGTCTGGAAATAGTTTTAAATACAGGTACTTTCTCATGCCTAACTAAAAGAGCATTACGCCATTATTCCTAAATTGAAGTGGTATATGGCACCTATAATCTGATGACTCTAAGAATCTGTACTGTGCTAAAGAAAGAAACTGAAAAATCTGGCAGCGTTTTCTGACTATAGTCAGAATAGTATGAGAAGTCGCCTGAACATAATCTTCCTTCAAGCAGGTTTTTCAAGCTAAATATTTACCTTTCCTGTAACAAATACTAAAAAAAAAAAAAAAAAAGATTTAAGGAAAAAAAATCATAGAATTCTATACCTAGAAAAAAATTAAGACATTACCTGCCAACTACGTTTTCCTTGGTCACAAGGTAGAACTTTAAACCATCCTTAAAAGACAACCAACAATCTGCAGAAGAAATTTGACAAATGCCTTTGGTGTGATGCTTGCTGTTGTTGAAAAGGTCAAATATACAAGACATTCTCCTTGAAAACTAGTAAGTTTTACTTGGGTGTCCTACCTACAATTAGATTAGTCATTAGGACTAGAAGTAAAAACCATATTGACAGACTTGAAAAGAAATGGCTCATTAAAATTCATTTTTACATATACTGTTATGATTTGTTAGGAACGTCTTTAAGGATGTTCTTCTCTACATTTTAGAGGGCCCTCTTTATGAAAACTCCCAGAAAATTTTCCTTCTGGTTTTCATAAGAAAGACCAGGAGTGCTTCCCCCAAATATCCATTGTATAATGCAATATATGGTCTCTCAGCCTGAGACTGAGTTCTCTGTTGATTACGTGCTAATATTCTAGGGAACATCTTTAAATTTTCCCCACCATCAACATGGAAGATTTCCAGAAAAAACATGGAGCAGAAAATAAAATTCGTGCAGAGAATGGAGAAGAGCATAGGAAAAACTCCTACTACACAGCATACAAAGGGAATTTGTTTTGTGGCCATTCTGGATGTGTGTGTGTGTGTGTGTGTATTTTTCTTTCCGAGCTTTTCATCACATAGAACCTACTATTTAAATACAGTGCATTAATTATTTACTGCTGAGGAATAAATTGTCCCCAAATGTAGCAGTTTATAAGAGCAAACATTTATATCTCACAGTTTCTGTGGGTCAGGAATCTGAACACAGTTTAACTGTGTCCTCTGGCTCAGAGGCCAGGTCACAGGCTACAGTCACCATATGGGCAGAAGCTATGGTCTTCTCGAGGCTTGATTTGGGGAGGACTGGCTTACAAACTCACTCACATGACTGCTGGCAGGTCTCAGGTCCTTGCGGGCTATTGTCTGGAGACAGTTCCTTGCCACATGGAGCTCTCCATAAGACTACTCTCAGTGTGGTAATTTTGCTTCCCCAGAGTAAGGACTCTGAGAGAGAGAGATACAGAGACAGAGACAGAGACAGAGGAAAAAGGGAAGCAAGACAGAAGCCTAATCTTAGAAATAATCATCCATTGAGGCGCCTGGGTGGCTCAGTCAGTTGAGTGTCCGGCTCTTGATTTCAGTTCAGGTCATGATCTCAGGGTCATGAGATAGAGCCCCGCATTGGGCTCTGCACTGGGCATGGAGCCTGCTTAAGATTCTCACTCTCTGTCTTCCCCTCCCCACCACTTGCACATGCTCTCTCTCACTCTCACTCTCGCTCTCTCTCAAAAAAAAAAAAAAAAAAAAAAAAACCAACAACAACAAATAAAGGAAGGAAGAAAAAAAATAATATCCCATCACTTTACTATATTTTATTCATTAACAGCTAACCACTTGGTTCAACCCACACTCAAGGAGAAAGGAGCACAAGGGCCTGAAACCCAGAAGCGGGGAACATCGGGACCATCTCAGAGGCTGCTCACTACACACAGTTATAGTCATTTTCTCCTATAACAGGGATTCCTCTTTATTCCAATTGGGATCTGAGTGGAAAACAATGGAGCTTGATAGGTTTGCCTTAAGCACAATGGAACTTATTTTAACTTTCTTAAACAATAGTCATGGGAGCAGAAAATGGAATTCACTTGGTCAGTCAGTCTTTAACCACTCTTTGGTCAGTCATGAAGCCCTTTCCTGAATATGGATTTCTAAAACTTTATTTTTTGCCTAGGAACTCATTCTCACTACATTCTAACCTGATACAAGTTATTCCTGGAAAAAGGACAATGAGATCCTTTATCTTAAAACAATCTCATGGTCCTATCAGACACTGAACTTGGCTACAAGTTAGTTACAACTGTCCAGGAATAATCTGTGTGCATCAAGGCCAAATCTTACTTCCAGATTCCCAGATGATCCTCTTTCCCTCACAGTCTCTCTATTCCCTCCTACTTATTTTAGGTGGGTCAACTACATGTTTCAAATAGCACAGGACATCACAGTTTATGCCTTGTCTCCTATTATTAATAGCACTCCTTTTCATTTTCAAAAGGGTCCGGTT